ATGAAAGCTATTTTTAACATTGATGCACCATGTTATAGTAATATCAAGTCTGTCATTATTTTAGTCAGAGTCTCACCAAGAACTTGAATGTCTTTCACACCAACCATTTGACCATTTTGCTTCTGTGCCAGTTATATTTGTGGTGACATTAACTTTTTTTTTTTTCACAAAGTTCCTTAATGACTTCCATCATTATCACTAAGGAACTCTTCCAGGCAATTGTAAACACTGATCTATATGCAAAATATTTTCTCTATAATCTCTTTGTGCAATCAATCTAGTAGCATGATTGATCAGGTGAAGTAGATGGACAGCCCTAAATTTCTTCAAATCCATGGCTATGCACTCACCAATAGTTATCAACAAGCTGACAACTGTCCATGGAGATTTGCAGTACAAACTGATTTGACAGTTTCATAAATATATAACTTTATATTAACAAATGAAGACAATTCTTTGTTTTGGTAATATTAAAAAATAAAAGTATATAAAATATATACAAAAAAATTTCTCTCCTGGTTTTTTGATAATTATTTCCTTTCTTGAAAATTGGTGGGGATTTATTCAGGTTAGCTGAAGCCATGATGGAATTTTTTTTTTTTTTAAGTCATACAGGTATGAGTTGGTTATCACTTTCACTATAGAAGTCAATTTCTTACTAGTTCAAAGGCTGTGTAAAATAACTTTGGTAATGGCATTTGGTTAAACACAGAAACAGTAATACACTTCTAATGAAAGAACCCTGGCAAAATGTTAAAACCAAAAACAGTAAGTAATCAGTCTCACTTGCCAGATAAACAAAAATTCAATTCAGTGCACATGGGTTTAAATTGCATTGAATAATCTACAAAACAATGGGGAGAGTGGGGGAGGGGCTGTCCCCCCCCCCACTTTGTAAAGATTTAGTTTAAAGCAACTTTAATTAATCACACAACACTTTTCTCATGATACAGCATCTTTATAGCATGGGGGAGTAATTTTACTCACTAGCACCGATTTGATAGAAAGGAAAAAAAAGAAAAGATAAACCAAGAAATTTTTTATTTATTTCAAAGGGTTTTACATAACAGCATTTGAAGATTCAAAATCAGTAAAAAAATAACATTTTACTGGGTGTCTTTTACATTGCGTGTGTATGTGTGTGTGTTTCATTTTTTGTTTTTTGCTGCTAGCAAAAAGACCCTGGAAAGCAATTAGAGTGCATAAGAATGAGAACTAATTTTCTTTTTATTATTAGAATTAATAATCATAATATTTTAATAAAATGAAGATGGGCAAAACATGTGTGATGGGACAGTTGGAAATGGAAGATTGTAAAAAGAAAGGGGGGGGAACAAAACTTCTCTTTGGCATTTGTGAAAAGACAAGCAGGAATCAATGTTTCAGTATTCTATTGTAAAAAGAATCATTAAAAGGTTTGTGGGCTTTGTTGTTTAGGAGTGGGGGAGAATCACATGAAGTTTTAAAATTTTACAGAGAAAGAAAAAAAAAGCTTTTCCAAATGAACAATTTGGAGGTTGACTTTTTTTTGTGAACTTTTTATTTTTACATAAATGATTTTATCTAAGCACTGGAAAAGGGGAAGCTGTTATAACTTCCGATTACATTTTTTTAACTTTCAAAACGTAAGTCATATTTCTATAAAATAACATATTGTCACATTTAACAGAAATCTAATGAAGTCTATGAAATTCACACATGCAAGGTGTTCAAAAAGAATTCCTTTTACACTAATTCCAATTTGTTTTAACTGACTGCGTTATAAATTAATGCTTTTTTATATATATATATATATATATATATATATATATATATATATATATATATATATATATATATAGAGAGAGAGAGAGATAGATATGTGAGAGGGGATGATGAAATCTGCTTTTTTTTTTTTTTCTTGGGACTTTTTTTAATTAAAGTTACAAAAAAAAAAAAATTTAATCTCAATTCAAATGGAGTACTTCTGAGGAAAGAAAAAAAATCACACAAAAGCAAAAGAAATCAAATGTTTATGAAGATGAATAGCCTGCACCATACATAATATAAGAAGACTCATCAAGTGTAGGTAAGGAATCTTTGTTAACTAAAAAGTTCTGAAAAAGATTTCCCTAATGAAAGATAAAGTCCAACCATCAGTATTATGAAGATCACAACAACAGCATTTTCTTTAAAAAGACGGGAGGGCATACATGTTAAACAACTTCTATCAGTGCTAAGTTACTATAAAAATGCTCCCCAAAAATGTATACAGAAATTACCTGCTGTGTTTCTGCATGTCTGCTTGCATGTTTGTCCGTGTCTTAAACAAACCTTAGTCCAGGTTTTAGAACTGACTGCTTAGCAAGATTTTTTTTTTATTATTATGCCAAGTATTTTCAGAGAATAACCAGGCACATGTGTTTAATCAACTGTTCAGAGAAAAGAGAAATTTTGAGGATTGGTAAGTCGTGGGTTATTTTTTAAAATTACAAGTAAAAAAACTTGGTTTAGAATCATTGGTATTTGGAAGATTTGAAAATAAGCATAAATGCCTTTGGTATTTTTCAAATTAGTCTCAGTTTTGGGTGTGTATTAAATGATACAAGATGAAAGTGGAGTTACAATTAAGGTTGGTTATGGTTGTTCAAATAAAAAGATGTCAAAATTGTCAGTTCTAATCTAAGAATGAATCACTATATACAAAATGTTTGCATAATGGAACCAGACAAAGATTTGATATGGATTTGGGTACTGAGATTAAAAAAAAAAAAAAAAAAAAAAAAAAAAAAAAAAAAAAAATCAGTATAGCATATTAGCACAAAAAGATGTGTTAAATATTTATTCATATAATAGCCAGTTATTTCTTTCCAGAATCCAGTGTACCTAGATTGTTACAGTGCCTTCTTTTTTACCTCCTGAAACAAAGAGGATCAAAAACAGAAAACTATAAACAGCACAATACACAAGATGACATTCAAAGAGAAATTGAAAGTCAAGTTATCTGAAAATGGGCAATTTTGTTTGGTAGATGAAATGACAACGATGACTTAGTGAATTTATCCCAAAGAAACTAGGAAAAAAATGAAGGGAGATTTTTATGGACCAAGTAAATAAATTTTAATTTTCAATATCAATTTAAATTTCTAAAAACATTAGCTGACAAAAAAAAAAAAAAAGTAAAAAATTTTATTTGATAAATATCAGAATAATGAAATTAATTTAGACATCAATTTCAAATTTAACTAAAACTAAGTCTTACCCTCCTCAGAATAATTTTTAGATAAGTATCCATTTGTAAGCACATGTTTACAAATGAAAGATGGTAAGTTTACCTCAACCATACTCAAAAAAATATTGTCAATTTTGATATTTTCAAGAGTAAAGCAAAAGTTCCTAAAACTGACAAACTCTGAACAAATTAAATTTTAAATGATGAAAAGAAAAAAAGAAAAGATATCACTCAACAACATCTTAAACAAATTTAGCATTATAAATACTAAATTACCTCTTATTTCAGTTTTCATGTATAGGAAAAAAATGTCTGATCATAATGTGAGGCTAAGTAAAGAAATATAAGGGAGGTAATTTAGTATTTGGACTGAAATTTGTTTTGGATTTTAAAAGCAACATTACCAAATAGAATAAAATGATTTTACATTAAAATGTTTTCATATTTGAAATGAAGCTTCAAAGTTTTATGAGAAACAATCAAAATTTTAATGGTTTTCTTTTAAAATAAAAAAGGAAATTTAAAAACAAAAGGCGTCAGAAATAATCTCAAAAGATGAATTTATATCAACTGAAACTCTTATCCTCTTAAACAAAATATGTAGTAAACATTCAGAAATGTGCTAACAGATTTAGTTTGACTATATCAGTTGATATTAGCAATAGAATAGTGTTTAGCATTTACAGTCCCTGGTGTTAACCACTTTTGTAAGTCAAACTATTTTTGTAAGATTGTGGGCTTGTAGAGTTCTTAGTAAACAAACATTAAATATTAATACTCACTAACAGATCAGCATTGAAAAATGCTCGAGTTAAACAGAAATTCACTGAGAGACATTTGAAAGCAAATTCACAATGGAAGAAGAGGATAGACATAAAAGTCCAATTTTAAATTTTAAATTATTAGAAATTTGCTGATTAGACAATTGTAAAACATGCAAATAATTCCAAAAAATATATTTGCATGAGAAGAAATTAAATAAAAACTTAGGAAAAAAAAAGAAAAAATTAATCTTTAATCACATATTGATTTTTTACTTTGAGGCAACTTTTTACTGAATTACTGTCTTTCCTATATTTGTTAACATCCAAGAAGTTTTTTTTTCCCTCCATATTCATAAGAATATAGAAAGAAATGAAAAAAATTTCTTGGTTGTAAATAAAAATTAGTAAGGAAAGCCATTTGGCCTAAAACAGAATTTTCTAGAAGTCTTCATTAATCACCTTCTGCACAGACTCTGCAAAAACAAATTCTTTTTAATGCATGATTTTAACCCATAGCCTCCTGGCACCAGTTCAAGCTGACACCTTATTCTTTTCTAAATTATAATTTTAAAAAGTGAAAATTTAATTGAAATGTTAAATTTCCCCAGTTTGCATCTGAAATCAAAATAATCTTAAATTTAAGCAGAATGACTACAATAAATGGAAAAAAAAAGTGTCAGTTTAAACTGATGTCAGTAGGATATGGGCTGAGTTCATCTTACAAGGCTCAAGATCAGCTTCTTTAAAAGCGAAAGGGAATATAAAAAAAAAAAAAAGTTGATATAATAAACTACAATCTTAATTTTTTTTTTTCTCCCTCAGAAAATCAGATGTAGATTGAAAAAGATTAGTCACTGGACAAAAATCTACTAAACAAGGCACTGAACACTACAGGAGATGGGAATGGGGGATGAGTAGAGAAGTAG